CCCGCTGCACGGCGGTGCGGGGCCGAGGGAACGGGGTCGGGCTGCCCTCCCTGCCCAATGTGGGGGGCTGCGGGGCCCTCCTTACCGACACAAACCCTTCTCTGTACCATGCCGTAAGAAACTGGTTTGGGTTTTTCTTAGGTTTTTTGTTTTGATGGTTTGGTTTTAGGGGGTCTCTAACATGTACATTATTATTTGAAAGGCGTGAAACGCTCTTTTTTTTCTTTTCTATACATATTTTGCAAGTTAGTGTTGGGTAAGTTTGCAGTTTTGAGTCTCATTGCTGTAGTAGTTAACAAGGAAGTAAAAGGCACTTTGTGCTTTCTTTAAAGGAAAGCTGGACATTGGCGTTGACACCATTCAGCATGGAGTAGAGGGACTAACCTATCTTCTTACTGAGAGCTCCAAGCTTATGGTAAGGATACCTTTGTGTAAGTATTTCAGGAATGCACTCAGGAGATGTCTTCTGAACACTTAGACCTCTGAAAATACTGGTGAATGGGAAAAATGTAGCTCAAAATTTTGATGACATGTATTATTTTAATTTCAGAGACAGGTGTCTCAGACTGTTGTCTTATTGAAACACTGCTTTTTTGTGGATGACTGGAATTTGTATTCAGTATCTGAAGCTAAAACTTGACAACATTTTAATAGCGTAATTTACTCCATATAGAGAAGCATCCTTCAGGATTGAGCTCTAAATAATAATACTCAAGCCAAGATTTTGTTGTCCAGCTACTGTAGAGGACATGGGCTGGACTAACCCCCTATTCATCACTCCTTGTCTTTGTCTCATGTGGTGGGTTTGAGAGCTTTTTCAGCTCCTGCTACCAAAGTTTTGGGTGGGTGTAAGCAGATACTAAAAGATCAATAGCTGGATAGTGGCTGTTTCCGTTTACCTTGATATAGTAGAATATTTGAACAATGACTACATGGAGAAGGGATACAGAGACAAGCAATGCCAGATTAAACTCAGGCAAGTGTTGCTCCCAAGAGCAGGTGGGGAGGGGGTAGAAATGTTACAGAGCCTTTCCTTAAAGCAAGGGGACTTGACTGACAGGTTACAGGGTATTGTGGTAGAATTGACTGGTCACAGACTGTGTTTGCAGGATGGTGCATTGGAGAGGTACAATGGCATTTTCCATGGAGTCAATAACTGCTGCCCCAGTGCTGGGCCAGGCTGCTGCAGTCAGCACAAGGACTGTGACCTGGGGCAGGAGCTTGAGCATTGTGCCTGGTGCTGCTCACACCACATCACTGCCCGTTGTTTGTAGTCTGGATATCAGTGGCACAGGAACACCCCTGATAAATGGATTCCTGCAGTGTGTCCTGCCTCGTGACACAGCTTGGGCGCTCCCCCGCGCTGTGTTTTGCTCTCTGATACAAAGGCTTTACACGTGAGGGGGTTGAATGTTCTTCTTTCAAAAAATTATCTACAACTGTCCCGAAACTCATGCAAATCTGCAGTAATATGTCAACATCTGTAAATCCCTTAAAACCTGGATATTTGTTTTGTCCGAGGTGTAGAACTGTACTTGGACATTCCTGCAGGAAAATAACTGCACATCATGCGTGGTGTTTAGTTACAGTTTTATTTGGTTTTCGACAAATAATGATGATTACACAGTTCCATATTAAGGCCTAAATTGTTATTTCTAGATTTCTGAGATTGACTTTCAAGATTCCATTCATGTCCTGGGATTCTCAGATGAATTGAACAAATCCTTGCTCCAGCTGTACCTTGACAACAGGAAGGAGATCAGGAGCATTCTTGGAGAGCTGGCACCAAGGCTGCCCAGCTACCACAATCTGGAGTGGAGACTGGATGTGCAGGTGACTTCCCCGATGCTTTTAGTATTCCATATTTTACTTCATGTTTTTTTAACATCATAAAAAACTTATAAACAGTGTAAAAGTAATTGAGATAGCAGTACTTCACGTATTTAAAACTGACATGACTTTGTTAATGCCTCACAGCCAGCCAGTTGTAAGATGAACAGGATATGCAATGATGCAAAGTACTTGTTGTCTGATGAAAACTGAATTTGTGGCTTCGTTGGTGTTTTAAAAGTGTTAGCGTATACTAAATATATTTGGTCTTAATTATCACCTAATTTTCAGAAATATTATGAAAGCATTGATTAAAGTGGATTAGTATTCTGTAATGATGAAACTCAGTAATAGCTTGTGTGTATCTTTAATGTGGATAAAAAGGGTTTCTGAACAGTCCTCCAAGCAGCTCCTGCAATCCTGGTGGGAATTGTAGGTACCAACATCAATAACCGTTGTTCGTTTCCCTGTTCCCATCTCACCAAACCGCTCCTGAAGCTTGCAAGCAGAAGTTTGAGACAACAGATCAAGCCTGCTGTGACCATGAAGCTATATCTTAACCAGAATGAAGATCAAACTGCCCAGGTGTTGCAAACTGACCCTGCTACCCTTCTCCACCTGATCCAGCAACTGGAGCAGGCACTGGGGGAGATGAAGACGAACCACTGCAGGAGAATAGTGCGCAACATGAAATAGCCTCAATTCCTGCCTGCTCTCCTACTGAGCAGTTTGTGAAACAGCTCAAAACAATGCTCACAAATACACTTTGAGGAAAAATAAACATCTGGATCAGATGAACTGCTTTCCTGTGCCAGGATCTTGAGCCAGTAATTACAGGCCAAATGTCCTCGGCTGCCAGCTTTGCAAATCTGACGGATACAAGATAGGTAATTGGGTTTGCATTACTTGCAAATGGAGGCATTCAGCATACTATGCTGAGAATTCCTTTAGCTCTAAATTAGGATGGATCTGCTCGAGCTTTCCTACCTTTGGTAGAACTGTCTCAATATTATTTGAAGCTGCATATTTACTGTTACATTTATAAAGTAATTTTTTCTCTTTTGCTTCTCTTTTAAAATATTTTTTAAACCCTTATACTGGTGAGAATGATACTTTGCAGGAAGACTTCTCCCATGTAGACTCAGGTGTGTGTAAAAGCCGATGTGGGACTGCTGCCCTTTTCCTCCAGAGGACTGGGTCAGTGGGGGCTGGTGTGACACTGCTGCTCTGTCCTTCTCACCTATAACTGAGCTAACACTCCTGTTAGCAGAGCCTGCTGTGACCCCGCAGGACAGCTCAGGCTTTCTGCAGCCAGCCCAGTGGCCTGCACAGGGTTGGCAAACTGGTTATATGTGAAGGTGGTCTGAAAACTTGCAAAAGCAGAGCTATGGGTGAGGAGGCAGGTTAAGAATAGTGTTAACCTTTGCTAACTCTGGTCTCTGTGCCCTGATGCCATGGTTTGTGTTCCACTGTTTGGATAGTGCTCGTAAAGGCAAGACCAGCTATTGCAACCAAAATTATGCTTTTCCACTGTTAAGAAAAATGTCTAATAAAGATGATGTCAAATGTCACTTTTCAGTTGTATTCTAATGCAGTATTTTGCAGCTTTTGTGAGTAAGATTAAATGGTTTTAGTAATCCATGCTTTAGTGTCACTGCTGAGGGTGCATCATAAAGGCCTTAAAGTATATAGGACAGGACAAGAAGGCGAGAGAGAACCATGACATACAGATTCTGGCAATAACTATTCACCGTCTTTCATGGCAACACCATAAACTTCTGTATTCATTGTGTTTTTACATTCAAAACTGCATTCTTTCTGTTTTGAATTTTTGTACTTCTGTACTACTATTTCAAATTAAACCTGCATGACTGAAGTGCTTTAAAAAAAGTTTTCTGGAATGTGGAGTTGCCTGTTCCACAGCTGCTGTGCAGTGTGGTGATGGTGTGAACAAACTGAATTGCCTTTCTCTGTGAATCAGCAATGTGTTCCTTTTATCATCCCTGTGTGGTGACCTTTTTCATAGAATCATTTTCATATATAGTACATGGTAATTAAATGTTAGTACTTGGGATTTTTGTTTCGTATTTTTTTATGTAATTTGCCTCTGTTTTCAGTGAGACACAAGAACAGCCTAAAAAGTAGGTGAGTGGTTTCCCTCATTCCATCTTTTCTCACTACATCCATAGTCTGTAACTCAGGGCAGCAAGACAGGAATTTTAGATACAAATCCTTGAAGATTTTTGTGTCATTGCCTGATGAACTTGAATATATTCACATTTTTGTCTCTTAAAGTGTTTTAAAAAACCCAGCTGCTCTAGAGCTGATTGGCATCGTGGTAAGTGCTGGTAACCTACATGTGTCACATCCTGAAGCATGTGCTAGCTATAGAGGGAGAGGGTTTCCCTTGGGGATCCTGAGTAAAATGGACAGTTGAAGGCAGATGTTGAGAATGGAAAATGAAACACCTGTTTCCCTTTACAAAAAATTACCTCAGTTGAGGATGGTCAAAGTTAAACTTTGAATCTGGGTGAAACTGAGAGATACTCAAACTCTGACAGTGATCCACGAACAGACAAGAGAGAGGGAGGGAGAAAGATCCTTTACACCAAGTGTGTTGCTTTTGAATTTTTACCTTTCAGTTTGTTCTGGGGGAAGAACTGAGCCTGGAAAAGCAGCTGCTTGGCAGCAGGATTTGGGCTTCATTATTGGAAAGGCAGATTTGCCTTTAGGTGAGGTTGGAACTGGTCTAACTACACCTCTGCAAGTTCTCTCTTTCCTTGTTTTCACAGCACCCGTGACAGCTGCCCAGGGGTTGGCACCTGAAGTGCCAAGTGTGACCATGCAGTGCTGCCAGCACCTCGGAGGGCAGGTGAGGCTGGGCAGGGAAAAGGCATCTGCATCAGTAACCCAGGGATACTGGTAAAATAAGAATTCACCTTTGCATCTGGTTTTTTAGATTTTTCAATCTGGATTTTTTCAGTTTTGTTGTAAACTCCCAAGTGAAAGGTGGCATATAAAGCTATATTTAATGTATCTTCTCAAATGAAGTTGCACTTGCTTTATAGAAACAGGATATGGAGACTACCAAATCTGATTATAATTAAACTACTAGCTTTGTTTCCTGGCAAAATCCACATCAGAAAACCCTCTCCATGTACATGCAGTTTATTGACACAGAAGACAACTGTATCTTTCTGCAAGTTAAATTAGTTATGCTAAAAAAGCATGTTTTGTGCTGGTGTGATTCTCAGCACTGCCCTGTGCTGCCCTCCTGCCTTGAGACAGCAGAGCTGAGCTGCTTTTGCTCTGCAGCCACTCCCTGTTTCAGCCCTGTTGGCCAGGTCATTGTTCTGGGCTGTTGGCAGTGTGCACACAGGGACTCAGGCTGACAGAGCTACTCCAGAACAACTCAGGCCAATAAGATCACACTGTATTATAATAATTTCTGTATTTCTTTTTGTAATTCTGGACTTCAACTCTGAAGCAGCAGATCAGGTCCCACTTTATCTTACGTGACTGTTTTGGGACTTACTAATCCCACTGAATTTGGCCAAAAATCATCTTCCAAATCTGCCTTGAGTAACTGAAAGTCTGAAAAACTGGCAGGTTTTTTGTCCTTTAAACATTGCCACCGTTTCCACAAACGAGAATTCATTTCCTAATTCATTTATGTGTGAAGTCAGCTATATTAGCAAACCTCATTGTCAGCAGCACTTAGAGGTGCCTGAGACAAACCAGTGATGGCCTGTCTCTGTATTTGTTCCCCTGTCTCTTGGGAGAGGGCACACTGAGTTCAGTCAAACAGGCAGCTGGAGCACGGGGACTTCTGACGTGGCTTCAGCTGTTTGCAAACTCCACAGTGCAGCTTTCCTGGGATCCCCACGGCAGACCCTGTCACCTGCCTTTGCTGGGGAGGAGCAGTGTCTGCATGTCCCATTCTGCTGGCTCTGCTCTAAGGCACAGTCTCTGAGACTCAAACACTGCTGCAATTTTTTGGTTAGAGCAGCTGTTTCCAAAATGAATGTCTGAGCAGTCATCTACAGAGATGTCCACACAGCTTGCTCGCCAGTAAAATTACATCAACTTATAAAACAACATGAACTGAGCTGACAGAATGGGGTTTTTTGCTAGCAGCCTGCCCACACCAGAGGTTTTGCTGTCTGAGGAGGTATATGCTTATACAGCTGCTTTGAGGAAACTCCTAACAGACACCAGGTTTTTGTATTAAATAAACCACAGCACAGTTGCCTACATAGGACATGCTCTGCGTGCATCCTGAGATGCCAGCCAAAGTCTTGAAGCTGTCAGTCACCTGAGGAACAAACAGCTGGGAAATGCACACAGACAAAAAGAAGCATTGACCCCTTTGTTAACAAACACACTGTATTTACTGAAGTACACTTTTGCAGAAGCCTCTTGAAAATTAGATTAATACAGAACTACTAGCAAGAGCAGAATACACAAAAAAGTTTATCAAACAATACCCTGTTGCCATAAGAACAAATAAAAATTATTTGCATGACAAATTGTATGTTTTTAGAGTGTAAGTATGTGTGTGCTGCACATATATACCTTTTTATAGCCAAACTCCATGAAACATGTTTACTGTTCCATTGTGTTCCTTCTTCATTATTTAGTTTGAAGGAACACAAGTCTTCTGTACCTATATGGCTTTTCAACTGACACACATGGAGCACCCAGCAGTGGTTACTGCCCACCCAGAGTCTCCTTGCACAGAACAAACTCAAAGCAGGGGCAGAGCCCAGGCTGTGCTGTGTCCCTGTGCCTAGGTTACCCAAAAGCACAAGGCTTGCCCAGGGACCCTGAATGTTTTCTTTTCTAACAGATATCACACATGCAGCTTCACCTATTTGGGCTTTCTCAGAAAAATTAATTTATGTAGGGCTTTGACACAGGGCAGCAATGGATCTGGATTAAAAATTACAACATGTGGTATTGTTTCTTTTAACTCATTAGATGCTCATCATCTAAGGGAACATTTAAAAGTGCACTTATTTCCTCTGAGCTATTTGCTTGGGTTTCCACTGAAGTATAGATTGAAGTTGCTCCTAGAAAATCCACAACAAGTAGGGTATGCTCAAAGTACTGGACTTCAGTAAATCCTTCAGTTGAACAAAAAAACTCCGTACTACTCAAAAACATTTGAACAGCATATTAAATTGAGAAAAATAATGTTATTGTCTTACTTTTTTACAACATAGGATCTTGTAACAAGAATAAAAAAGTAACGATAAGGAGCCTTCTATGTCACATTAGTGGTTTGGTTCCTATATCACTTAATACAATCCCATTGTGATGGAAGTGTCCTTGTCTCCTATGGACTTGAACATATTGAATCATTTGTTCTAAAAGCTGGTGGTCATATCTTTGTGTCCAAAGAAGGAAGTTAGTATTTCTAAATAATAATGACAACAATATGAGAATGTATTCTTACAGTTCTAATCACTTTCAGATTTGTGGAGAAAAATTCTTTAGCCTACACCAAGTGGTACAATAGCAGATAATTGTATTATTCAGTAAAAACTGCAGCTGAAATACATCTCACTGAAGACAGTTCTAGCTGTAATAAATGCTGCTTAGGTTTAGAACAAATGTGCATGTCCTCACAGGATGCCACACTCTCTTATGAAGGTGGTCTAATTAACACAGACAACATGGCCTCATGAATGAGACTGTCAGAGCCTTCCCTTGAACGGGCTTGTCACCCAGAGAGGACTGGAACAGGTAGAGGGGTGTGGGGTGTCTTTACTCAAGGATACAGAGGCCTGGAGGAAGCAAAAAAGCCCTTTTAAAGGCTGTATGAAAAATCACTCACGTTCAGATCATTATCTGTGCAATAACCACGTGCACACACAATCTCATATCCAAAGGTTTTAAATCAGGAAACTGCAGGAAAGAGAAAAAAGATATGTAATGTCTGCCTAACCCTGGAGAGTGGGTGCTGTGATGAGCACAGCTCTCTGAGCTTGTTGCAGCAAGGAACACAGTAAGGAAGCAGCAGGAGAATGGTACAAAAGATAACATGGAAAATTCTTCGGGAAGGGAAGCATAAATAAGTCTCAGGAGTACTGGGTTTCCTGATCAGAAACACAGCATATATGGGGGGAAAAAAAACAAAAAAAGAACACAAAACAAAGAACAGCAAAGGAAACCCCAAGGAGGAGATCTGCTGAGCCAATGGAAACATGGACAGGAAATGTGAGGAAAAGTAAACGAAAGGGAATATTTGTTGAAGCAAGGCAATCAGGAAGTGCACAGGATCTGTTCCACAGAGCTAGCTGATCCTGATCCAAGTTCGTGTACAGGCTTAAACCACCGCTCTCAGAATCTGCATTACCAGTATTACATGTAACACTGATTAAGAGACAAATGTGGTTAGGTCAAGATCAAGTCCTCTGCTGGAGAAGCCAAAAGCAGTTCAGAAAAGTTCATGATTCTTTTTAAGAAATAAGTATGTTCAGAAAAAAAATTACCTCAGACTTTTCTGGTGTAGATTCTGATTTGTGAGGAGGATGTATTCTTATCGATCAGCATAGCCTGGAGTCTGTCCAAAATGCAGAAATAAAATGACAAAATGCATTACTTAAATTAATGTGTTTGTGTAGCCAACATGTTATATCTCTATATGGGTAGTCACAAAAACACTGTATGCTTCCTTCTGTAAAAACCAACAGTGAAGTTGGAAAGTGAATAACACTGTTCTTTATTGACACAGCTACTGAATTTAAGCTGGTCATATCACCATTCAAAAGTTGTTCCAAGTGCACCAGAAAATTAGACAAGATTTTAAAAAAATTATATGTATTAATTGTAGAAAACCTCAGCAATGCATTTTGATGACAGCTCTGGTTTCTAGTATAGACTAAACCAAGGACAAGTGACTGTGAACAGGCAATCAGCAGAGATCCACAAAGCATCACGTCTGCATTTGAAACAGCCCCTACGGAGAGGGAATTAGAAAATACATGATACAGCTTTGCACTGGACTCGTACCTGACAGCAAAGGGCCAAACCTTACCTAAACTACAGCGACGTGGTTACAGTCCATGTCACCACCAGTGCTTCATTCCTCCCTCTCATCACTAAATCATACCATTAAGCTTGTATGCAAACTAAGTTATGCATCATTTTTCTTCCAGAAATTAGCATAGCCTCTGAACTTCCTGAACGATGGTTTTGGAGCAAAGCTCACTAGCTCGGCAGAGACAAAGCGCTCCGAGGCTCCCCAGGCCCCACGGCCCCGGCGCTGCCCGGCTGGGACATAGCCCTCCCCGCGGCCTCCTCGGCGGGCGGGGGCGCGAAACGGGACAGCGACGGGTGCGGCGACGAGGGAGAGAGCAAGGAGGAGAGAGGGGAGCAGAGGGGAGCAGGAAGGGGAGCAGGCACAGCAGGGCGGGCTCCGAGGGCCCCCCGAAGCCCGCCCGAGGCCATCCCCGCCCCAATCTCCCGTCGGCAGTTGCATAACTGCGGGCGGCGGCGGGGCCGGGCCGGAGCCGCCGGGGCGGCGGGAGGGGGCCGGCGCTGCCCCCGTCCCGCCGCGCCCGGCCCCGCCCGGCCCGGGGGCGCCCCGCCCGCCCGGGACAACCGCGCGCTGGCGGGCCGCAGCAGGCGCGCCGCCCCGCCGTCCCGCTCCGCTCCACCCTCGCCCCCGCTCGGTCCCGCGAGGTCCACGTCCTCGGCGGCGGCCGCCAGCGGGGCCGGCCCGTGCCCACCGCCCGCCCGGACAGGCCCGCCGTCGGGGCGGAAAATGAACCCCGCGGCCGCGGCCCCGCCGCCGGGACAGCAGGTGATCCACGTCACGCAGGACCTGGACACGGAGCTGGAGGCGCTGTTCAACGCGGTGATGAACCCCAGGCCCAGCTCCTGGCGGAAGAAGATCCGCCCGAGTCCTCCTTCAGGGCGAGCCCGATCGGCTCGCACTCGCGGCAGTCGAGCCAGGACTCGGCGGGCCCCCGCCGCCGCCCCGCGCCCGCTCACGTCCGCTCGCACTCATCGCGCGTCGCTGCCCGGCGCGGTCGCGGCGCCGCCAGCAGGGCACCTCCGCAGCCGCTCCGCACGTGAACGGACCGAGCCGCCGCTCCGCGGCTGGGAGATGGCGCTCACGCAGACCGGTGCAGCGCTACTACTTCCTCAACGTGAAGTGCGCGCGGGGCCCGCCGGGTCGGGCGGCGGCGGGGAGCCTGCCGCTGACCAGCGGCGGGGGGACCGTCCCGTCCGAAGGGGGAATTTTTTGCGGCATCCCGGGAGGAAACTCCTTCCCGGGGCAAGAGGGAGGCGAGGGAGGGCCGGGGGGCGCTCCCGAAGCCGGGCGGGAGCCCTGTCGTGCCTGTCGCTGCCGTATTCCTTTCGTGCTTGCCCACACGTCCAAGATTCTGAAACCATTTTTTTTTTTTGAACGAGTTCATTAACAGTTATTCCAGGGAGTTTCCGGCATGTGGGAGCGGGGCTCTGCGTGTCCGTACCTGTGGGAGGCAGCGGGGGCTGTGGGCGTGCGGGGGCTGCCCGGCCCGCCCCGGCCTCGGGGTGTTCAGAGCATCCCCGGCCGCGGGGACACGGTCGGAGCCCGCCTTGTTCTGGTGACAGATTTTGAGAAATGTGGTAACACAACTGCCCATATCCCTTCTGGCTGGTCATTTTGACCAGAGTGCTTTATTTGTTACGTTTGGTATTTGATTCAAAACAGTCTAATAGGCCTGAAAAAATGTAGTAATTGTAATACGTGGTAAGGCAACAGTGCCTTATTTTGGTAGATTTGTAACTCAGCTCCAGATTCATTGCAAATTAAGTGGCACTGCATTAACCTGGTAAATAATGCAGTGACAAAATGTTTGCTAATGAAATAAAATATTTACTAGTGAAGCTTCTGCCTAAAGGTGTTGAGGGAGTTCCATGAGATCATTTCCTTGCTACAGCCTTCTCTGTCAGAAGAGTAAACCACGTTCATATTAGACCACAAGTAGGTATTCAACCATCATAAATGGCTTATAGACAATGTGTGAGGGGAAAGAGAGACAAAACTGTTTAGAAAAATGAAAAAAAGTCATAATTTACATGATTGTATAGTGATTTCTTTGCATCGTGGGTTTGGAATCTCCAACGGATTACTCAAGAGCCCAGTCTTTAAATTACTCTGCGCAGAGTTTAGATTTTTTACTTTTGTCACACTCAGAGCTACCAGCAGAGCACGGAAATACATTTCTGTCTGTCTCTGTATATCGTTTGTGATACTGAGTGGACGTGTCCAAGGGTCCAAACCTAGGAGTTTGTTATTGATCTAGTTTATCACCTATATGAGAAGATCTTGTGTCTTCACACTTTGCATGTATTTTTCTCGAGAGAACAAGGACAGAGAAATAGGTGACTGACAGGAGCACTGAAACAGACCATTCATAGATAAATATTAAATATGAATTCTTGCTAGGGTTTGGCTAGGGGGTGTTTTCAGATACCTCTGCCTAAAAATTGCATAACATAATCTTTGTCTGCTCTTTGTTTTTTGACTAATACCAAATATCAAAATGAGTTCATGTGGTTTCACCTTCCTGTCACGCATTTCTGACCTAGAGACAGAGTTTTCCAAGTAGACGGATTCTTGTTGCTTAGGCTAAAAATGCAAGGCCTTTATTAAATAGAAAGCATGGGTAAAAACTCAAAATGTGTTTATTTTTTTTTCCCAAATCATATCAGCAGTAATACTCCAATTAACCGCATCCTTTTTGATATAAAATACAATATTCAATTTGTTACCCAAGATAGTCTTTGTTTTGTTTCCCCAGTTTTACCTATCCAACAGAAGTTCCCTCATTTATCTAAAAATTAATTGGAATCGTGCATTTCTTTACACGTGATGTATTTCTTTATACCCCAATGCTTTGGGGAGTAATATTTCACTATAAAATACTAACATATGAATTATAGTATTTTATAGTGGTGTAATGTTTTTCAGGTGAAAATATAGTTTTCTGCAGAAATTTAAGATTGTTTATGGAAAACAACATTTAAAACTATTTTCAGTAACATATAGGATTCAAATCAGATGATGTGCTTGAAAATCATATTTGGTTAAACCAGGCATACAAGGTTACATTTCCTTATATAAAGAAAAAAAAGCCAGTGCTTTCCAGCTTGATGATAAAGATTTGTTTGTAGGCATTAGGAAAAGAAAACTAAAAAATGAACTAAGAGTAAATAGCTAAATTAGGTCCTGTTAAAGCCTTTATTATCTGTTGAAGCTTATAATGCAATTTGTTGTATTTAAACATATTTTGATGAATTATTAAACAGAAGTACTAGTGGGAGTTTCAATGAACAGTGAGCTGACCTTGTTGACAGGGAACCAGCTACAACTTGAAGCAGTTGCACTCCTGCATGTCAGTTCTTGCAGAAATTTTCTGGCTGTGACTGGAAGAAACATAAGTAGCCTGGGGACCACTCCACCCTGTAATTAAATACCGAACAGCACAAGTGGGGGGTGGAAAACAGACTCATTAACACACACTTGCAGCAATGTTATCTAAAGCATTTTTCTGTGTGTGCATGTGTGGAAAAAAATTTAAGTGTGATTTATTTCTGATAAAAAGAGTTTCTGGAAAGACAGGCAAACTGCCTTGCATAGCTCTTGTGCTGGTGAGTGGGAATATCAGTGGGAATATCAGATCCTCATGCTGGGCTGTGTACACATATCCTGTAAAAAGAATGTTTCAAGTATTACTTTCCACCGATTTGGGTTTAGGTGGTAAAGCTTCATATTTCAAATGAAGACCGAGGTTTTAATGTTTCCTCAGTGTATGTAGAGAGCTTCTTGCTCAGACTCTCCTAAACAGAATATGGAGAGTTTGGTGTCTGCACTGTGCAGATTTGTAAAACCATTCCCACTGTTGTCTTGGTCACACTGTTATTTTTAAAATATTACAAGGAACATTTGCCTTACCAGGACATATTGGCCATTAAATTCTGCTTGAGTGAAAGAAGGCTAATTCCTTGCAATATTTGATTTAATCAAAATGTTCAAAAATTTTTTTACTGGTTTTTGTTGGTGGAGAAACTTGATTTAACACATGATCAGTTTTACAAAACTGAGCATGTTCAGCAGGACAGCAGAAGAAAAGTAATATAAATAGAATGAAAATACCTTTTTTCCTGAGAATGACAAAACAAATAATGCTAAGACAGTTGACGTACTCCAGTGATTTTCAAATACGGCCTTTCCCTGAAAGCCATTTGTGTTAATTCTGTAGAAACTTTTATTATTTTATACTGGTGTTGTGCTTCATCACAGAGAAACTTTTCCATCTCAGGAATGTAGTTACACAGCTGGAAATGGGGGAGGAGATGGGCAATGCATGAGGGTTACTCAGTTAAGTTCCCATAAGAATGTGGAAAGCACTAACACCTTTGTAGGACATGTTTGCAGTGTTGTCCCACAGTTGTGGTCACAGTCCCATGTCCAGCAAGGGGGGACTTACCTCGCTGTGGCTTTCCTTGGTCCTTGTAGAAGAGTGGTGCAAAGCAAGAGCCTGTGCATCCCTGCTGGCTTTGCTGTTGTGCATTAGAGACACATTTCACAGAATCGTGCAGCTTTTGGAGCATTTAATCCCCACCTTGAGGCATTTGCTTTGTTCCCCATCACCAGTGGTTGTTTGTCTGGGACTTAGTGCCCGAACTGCTCCCGTTGCCAGCATCCCTTTATTAAAAATAAGTTATAATGTGCTAGAAAGTACCAAGATATATTACTACCGGTGGCTTTTATCTGGAATTAGTGAGTGTATTAAAGAGTTCCTAGCAGGCAGGAAAGCTGTGATACAACATGAAGGTTTAATTAACGGAAATTCAACTATAGCTCACCTTTGTAACTCGTTTTAGAGATGCTCAGGAAGTTTTGAGATTGGAATGTGCACATCAAAACTAAATTTTCAAGCTGTGATTGTCTGTAATTCAAGTGCTGATTTAGTGATGGTGGTGGAGTTCCACTTAAAAGACTACCATGGATCTATGAGCTACTTTTTCTCCTCTGAATTTGGCAGTAGGAGCAGCTACAGAGTTTCTGATGAAAGCTTATATTTATTAATTTTCTGGTCCAAGATCATGTCTTTTCATGATCAATAGACTGTTTTCTCAGAATCTAAAATCATGTTGCCTGTGATGCTTAAAACAATTTAGTGGTTAATGTGGGGCTTATTAAAATCTGAGGAGAGAAGCAACACTGGAATAAAATTGCTTCAGGGAC